CCGAGTTCTTTGGAGCCCACCTTGGTTTGATCCTCCCTTCTGGTTCCTGAGCCACAGGCTGCAGCTGAGCGAAATCACAGCCTCATCCCAACAGGGCCACCATGGATCCCTGTACTCGCCAGGTCCCATGGGCCAAGCCAGCGTCACGGCCATCCCACGTCCCGCCATCTTACTGTCCCTGGGACATGCCTCTCCCAGTGCGCCGGTGCAAGCCTTACTTACTCTCAAGCCTCCAATCTCTTAGGAAAGAGAATGACAGACCCGGGTCTGAATTCTGATTTTACCACTCACCTGCTGTGTAGCCTGACCTTGGTGAGATTCAGTCATTTCGTCTGTAAATATCAACACTCCTTGCTGATTGTTGACGATGATTAGAAAATACTACCAGAAGTGCCAAAAAATATATACACATTCATTTTTTTTTTTTTTAGTCAGAGTCCACTCTGTCGCCCAAGCTGGAGGGCAGTGGCACTCTCACAGCCACCCAAACCTTGACCTTCTGGGTTCAGGTGATCCTTCTGCTCAGTCTTCCAAGCAGCTGGAACTACAGGCATGTGCCACCACACCCAGATAATTTTTTTATTTGTAGAAATGAAGTCTTGCCATGTTGCTCAGGCTGGTTTCAAACCTCTGTGCTCAGGCAATCCTCTCACCTCTGCCTCTCAAAGTGCTGGGATTGTAGGCGTGAGCCACTGCACCTAGCAATATATACACATTTTAAGCGATGTTATCTATGTGTTATGTTACTTTCTGAAGGTTAATTGAATTACGGTAGCAATGTGTAGTATGACATTCGCTCTAACAATGGCGTTCATCAAATGAATGCTAGTGTCACCATGTGACAGGCAGGATAGTCAAAGGAAATGACGGAAGCCTGGTTGTCGTGTGAGGAATGCAAGGCTATTTTGAAGTGGCATTTGAAATTCAAGAACATTGTGGAAGTACAATGCCAATGGAGGCATGAATCTGCAACAGAATCTCCAACATGCTTAACAACTGCATGCATTCATGGTGGGTTCAAGACTCGTGGTCCTATGTGTGATGTGCACAAGAGAAGATCCGGGAGGCCTCACACAGCACCAAGTCCTGCTTCTTCTGCTATGGTGTTGGAACAGTTTACACACTTACCACAGATGTCTACCAGACAATGTGCACGTGAGACAGGAGTTAGCAGAAAAAGCATATGATGCATTCTTAGAACAGCGAAATGGAAAGTTCTCATCCCAAGATGATTACATGCACCGAATAGAGACGACCCTGATCGAAGGGTACGGTGTTGTGAATGGTTCCAAAACAGGATACAAGCGGATGAGGAGTTTCTGGGGGAAATGGCTTGGACTCGTGAAGCCCAGTTTAACTAGAACAGTGCGACTGAGTTTACCTCGCGTTCTCCTAACTTAACACCCCCTTGACTTCTACCTCTGGGGGACCCTAAAAGATATGGTGGATCATAGAAAACCAGCAACACTGGCGGTACTTGGGTCAGAAGTTGAAATGGCATGCACAGCCATCACGCGGACACTTTGGTCAACGTGGCTCAAGCAGTGGTTCGCCATCATCAGAAGTGTCTGGACGCTGATGGTGACCACTCTGAGCACCTCTTGTCATTGCAGAAGTCAAACGTGACATGTATTCATCTTTTGGTATCAGCCTATATTGAGTATTGCAATTTTAATACAGCTTTCTCCATTCTCAAAATGTGTATACCTTTTTTGGCACCCTCTGTGTGTGTTGGATGCTCAGCCCCATGTCTAGACATGGCAGGGGTGTAGGACTTGAGAGCTACTATGATGATATGATCGCCATTCTTCCATGCTGCACTGTTAGAAATCAAGGCTCTGGGCATGCGTGTTTGGCTCTCCGCCCTTCTCTCTCTCTGTGCCATCTTACTTCCTTCCCTCCATCACCCCAACCAGGTACTCCTTCCAGATGCAGCCCCTCCCTCCGCGGCTCCCCTGCCCAGCCCTTTCCGAGGGTCCTGTGCACAGGATCCAAATGGTGACCCCGTCCTTAGGCCACATCCTCGCCTTCCCTCTTAGCCACGCCGCCGTGTCATCAAACGTGCACTTCAAGATGGCTCCACTGTCTCGCGAAAATAAATCTTCCCTGGAAGCCGCCACTGCTTTCTCTGCTCTCCGATTGCTCTTACTCCTGTCCTGCCTCTGACCCTGAAGAGGTATGCGGCAACCTCTGTCTTCAGGGCCAACGTCCTACTTGGTCTTGGCCTCTCTGCCAGGTAACTGACCGCCCATCGCGGTTTTCCGGGCCGTGTCTCTGGCCTGCCCAACGCTTTTTCTCGAACACTCTCACCTCTCTGGCTCTCTGCGGCCAGGAGCACTTGCCTCTCTGCTGATTTGTCCGTTTGTTCTCGGCAGTCCCCCTTCACTTATTCCTGTCCCCAGCAGGAGTGTTTTCTCCCATGCAGTCAGCCCCCGGTCCTCCCCTCTCCTCTACTTCTTCATGAAGAAACTCTCCACTTCAGGGCTTCTGCTGTCACTCTTATGCGTGTCATCCAGAGGACATCCCCGCAGGCAGGTCTGTCAGGAACAGCAGGGCTGCCAGGAACAGCAGGGCTGCCAGGAACAGCAGGGAGGGGTTCCTGGTCGAGGCCATGTCCACCAGGAGAAAGGGGGCTCTTTCCTAATTCGCACGAGGACCCTGGGTGGGCTGGGCTGGCCCTGCCAGCTGGCGTGTCCTGCTCTCTGCCACCTTCTCTCCCTGGAGGCCTGCCAACACCCCCAATCCAACACATCTGAGATGACTCCCTGGCTCCTGCCCCACTGCCACCCCCACCCCCAGCCTGCCTCCCTTCTCCATCTGACAGCGAGGGCACCATTCCTCCCCTTTAAAAGGCTTTCTCTCTCATTCTTTCTTGAGTGCCAGCACCGAACACCTGGACGTCCCTCAGGCTCTCAGCTGAACTCCCTGTCTCTCAGAGGAGAGGACACTGTCACTAGGGACATCCAACAATGTCTGGGTTATTTGATAGTCACAACAACTGGGGTGGGGTGAGGGGGGTGCCCCTGGCATCTAGTGGGTAGAGCCCGGGGTGCTTTTAATGGTCCCCCATGCATAAGACAGCCCCTGTACAAAGAACTGTGGGGCCCCCTCCCATCCATAGGGTAGAACCCTGCTGACTCCTCCCTCTCTGATGCATCCCGGATATTTTTCTGAGAAAACTCCCTTCATCAGGCCTCCTCACTGCTCAGTGGGCAGCTGGACTGGCCATGACTCAGACCCCAGAGTTACCAACTGAGCCAAGTCCCGGCTCAGCCACTGCCAGCTGTGAGGGCAGGCAGACTCATGCCTCAGAGCCCAAGGCCTTAACTATAAAATGGGGTGACGACGGGGCAGTCCAATGGGGTGAGGCAAAGGGCCTGGCACTGGGGGCCCCCTTGGTACATTTCAGTGACGTTTAAATCAGGTTTCCCCTCTCAGGGCTACTGTCCAACTACTGTCCGCCACAGTGTGACCCTGCCCCATGTCCCTCCACCGTCTACTCCTTCTTCCCTGATCTGCCCAGCCAAGGTCAGCTCAGACCTCATCATCTAGGAGAATCCCCCACCTCAGAGCCTTGAACCTAGGGTGCGGTGGCTTACACCTGTAATACCAGCACTTTGGAAGGCCAAGGCAGGAGGATTGCTTGAGTCCAGGAATTCGAGACCAGCCTGTGAAAGACAGTTAAATCTCATCTCTAAAAAAAAAATCCTGTATTTAACCATGTTTGCCAAATTCCTGTTGCCCTGTAAGGTGACAGTCATGTGGTCCAGGGATTAGAACGTGGATATCATTGGGGGCATCATTCAGCCTAGACACCACTATTCTTTTTTTTTTTTTGAGTTGGAGTCTCACTCTGTCACCCAGGCTGGAG